CCCCAAAACCCCAAAACCCCAAAACCCCGCACTACTTATTTAAAGTCAAATCATAGATCAATAATAATTTTTATAGATTAAAAGATTTATTTATTCCATTAATTATATTATTCTCATGGAAGCAGGATAAAAGGAATTTAAGCCTTTAGAATATAAAAGATCAGTCGTCTTTGCCAAAAATCTTACTCAATATTTTGATCATTAAACCAAAAATAGTAAAAAATCTCAAGTGCTCATAGAAGATCAACTAAGCTATGAGTAAGGCTTTGTCGATATGACCAAAGGCAGTTTCAACAATTTTAAATGAAAAAGTGGTAATCCAAGGATTTAGTCTAAAAGCTCTCAATCATTCATTAGATTGTCTACTTTTAAGAGAAAGACTTACTAGTCAAGTTTTTAGTTTGATAGTAGCCAGAACTACTATGAAAGTGTATTAGGAACAAGAAATTCAGAAGATAATAGGCCCATAAAATTTAAGAGTAAAAGCAAGATAGGCATGTTTCAAGTGTGCTGTGCTTTATTAAGTCGGATAATAGGAATTGGTTATCTATCATTTCCAACAAGCCTTGACTTAAGCTAGATCCTATTCACTTTATTTTTAATGGTCTTCAATATGTTAAGTGGCCTATACTCATGTTATCTCATTTTAAAACTTAGATGCGAGCATCCTAAACTAAAGTAAAATAACTTGCCTTTTATTAATTCTATAGTTCTATACAAGAAATAGCTTATAATATTACCAAAAAAAGAGGCTTGGTTATATTTATAACCTCAATATAATTCTTGACATACTGTTTATTTCCTTGTGCACACTTGAGTAAGTCCTATATATAATTATTCCTTATCATAAATTAGCAACTGCAGCTTCTGGCACTGCAAGTTTAGTAAAAACTTACTATGATAATTTCGATAAATACTAGTCAGAAATAATAATTGGTATTTGCATGTTTTACTGCTTGATAATCGTAATTTATCTGAGGAGACTTACTTTTGATGTATATATAAGATTATCTATTTACTCTATTATCCTCACCGCCATTTTATTTCTAGTAACTTACTCTTTTTATCTTTACTTTTGTATAGTTTTTTTTCATTCAATTTGTTTGGAAGTTAGCAGAATCTGAAGTGAAAGCATTACCTGTATTCTAAAAAAGCTCTTAAGACTATGGAGAATTAAGTAAGAACTTTAAAATTAATGATACAGAAAAGATCCTTACTTAATAGTGATGCCCATCATTGCTTATTCATTTCAATTTGAGTTATCCTTGATCCCTGTTTAGTGCTATCTAAAGCTAAGTGACTAAAATGGACTTAAAGGATATAAAGCTTCCATAATAAGCTTGACTGCTGCCACTTTCTACTATACTCTTATCTTGATTTTTTGCTAGGTCATTCGAGCGAAATCTCATGATGAAGATAGTTGCTAGAATTGTACTTTTTATGTGATAATAATCAGAATGTTCAATATATACATTTCTTACATATGTCTCATACTGATCATTGTGATCTCAGTTATATAAGGAATGCAGACTTTTCATCTTGCTCATGAATAGTTATGCATCCTAATTGATGAACTGTTAAGGTCATCTCTAACCAATCATGTCGAAAAGCTAAATTCGTATAAATAGTCAACTATTTAAATGGAGCATGACATATCAAATATCTTAGATAATAGATGTAATGATGAAATCAGTTCTGATTAACTTAAAAAATCTAGGACAAGATTTATCACCTCAATAGAGATTACGGATGATTAATGTAAGTCGTTTATGGTGGGTTTGAAAGAAAAAAAATACTGGATGGCTTATATGGATATGAAAAAGAAGCATAGATTAATCCTAGGTTTCATTCTATTTTTAGTAAATGCTATTATTCTTTGCGTTAATGTGGAAGTCAAAGCTATTGTAAATTTATTAGGATCCACTACCATCCCACTTTTGATTTATGTTTTTCCAGGATACCTTTATCATGAATATCACAAACAAGATAGCTCATTGATTTTGATGATGTCAATGAATCGCTTTCATTATAAATTCTCCCAAATATTCTCAATCTTAGGAGGCTTACTAATATTAGTTTACAGTACAAGTTTGATTTATAACACATCAGATGAGACTCAGAAATCTGTGTGAAAATAATAATTACGAAACTATTTTTAATTGATTTTATTCTAAAAGATTCAATTGATTCTAACTCTAGGGGTTTTGGGGTTTTGGGGTTTTGGGG